CCGTGGCATCTCGCGGACATTTCCTCCTCCCATGAGGTCCGGGAAGAATGCATGCAATCTAAATTGACATATCCAAGCAGTAGAGAGAATACGCCTTTGCTTCCCAAGGGCAATTTTGAACCACCGGCAGTCCAGAACTACGCCACAGATCCATGCGACTGTACGAATCAAGTCTTTGCGGATTAGCTGCTTCAACCAGCGAATTTCGTCCTAATATGATCTCAATAACCTAAGAAAATTCTTATCAAGAAAATCTAGAATCGACTTCAATCTTTGCTCTATCGCCGTTTGGAAGATCATGCTTCAGCTTCGGGATCCGAGCTTGCCTCAGAGCTTTTCTTCTTCCTGTCGTTTTTCCTTCTACAAGTGAAGTAGATCCAAGCTTGCCTCATAGCTTTTCTTGTTCCTCTCGTTCTTCCTTCTACAAGTTCTACAAGTAAAGAACCTCTTACTAAGAAGCAAGTCCGACTAGGGCAAGGGAGCAAGCCCCCGCTCGAGGAGGACCGTCCAAGGACGTAGCTTTCTTGGTTCTGCATTGTCACTTCATAACAAAAATTACGCAAACGGACCACTCACTTTATAACAAAAAGTACCCAAACTACTCATAAACACCATTAGTGTTTGAATGCTGGAAATGCATGTGACTTGATGTTGTACTACACCACATTTGATGGCGTGGTGCCCTCAAGAAAAGAAAAGAAAAAAATAAAATAAAATAAAAAGCTAGTATTCTGATCTTAATCAAGAGAACAAGCAGGAAAACACAAAAAAGAAACAAACAAGTTTATCCTTCATTCTTTTTTATTCTGCTTTTTCTGTATTTTGACTCGCATGAAATTATTAACAGAGAGAACAGACACAAAGGGGATCCAAAAAGGAGGGGATATTTGAAAAAAAAAAAAAACTGTCTTAAATATTCCAAAAACATAATTTGTTGAAGACCCTTTTCTATATACCACCATTTAAACACCTCCCCTTGACAAGAACAACACTTATATAGCACATGTTTACAACTATTCCTACCATAAACATATAATAATATCCCTGCTGTAAGATCTGTACAAAAGATAAGGAGCCTTTCACTCTTGGGCTACTACCACATTCCAAATGTGCAGCTCACATGTTCTTGAGTGATAAACTGAAGGCGATCACGCATCACAGAAATAGATGGGTATTGAGGAAGGCAGAGGCGGTAGAAACAAGTATGCGATGTAGGTAGGCGGTCATGAGAATCCGAAGACTTATAAATATACAATTTGGACGCCAAGCCACCGAAACCATCCACCGGCAAATACTTTACTGATGTCCAGAAGAAAAGTAGCACCCTTTGCTGCTCCTCAGTCATACCCTCCACTATCTGCATTTTATCCAACAAGTTTAAAGGTTCAACCTAAACCTCTACTTACTATTCAGAAAGACTTTACCCTGAGGAAATTACAGAAAAAGAAGAGAGAAAACAAAGTAAACGAAAACATACTTTCACACAAAATCTGAATTTAAACTTGTCTACATATTAAGAGGTGAAATTGAACACAGTTCGGACCTTTTCTCTCTTGCGTACAAAGTGAAGGTGAAACTGAACACAATTCCGACCTTTTCTCTCTTGAGTACAAACTGAATACGCTGGATAAATAAATAAATAAAATTAAAAAAAAAGAGGCGCACTCCACTTTCATATCTTAAAATATTATGCAGCTCTAACAGTTTAAATATGTAATCCGCAACTGCAAACTCCATTACAAATCAACATCTTGTGTAAGGTAGCTAAAAAAAGAGAACTAAAGCAAGCTCTTACTACCCATTGATCAATAAAGGGGTAGTTATCCCTTATACAGACAAATATAGTAGGATAACTATAGAAAGTCCTATAAAAAGGAAATTCTAACAAAACAAAAACTATAAAAAATGAAAGACCTATAAAAGAAATACTATATTTAACAAACCCCCTCAAATTCTTTGGGTATACACTGTGAGTATGGATGCATCTACAAAAGTTAACCGGATGTTGCGAAGGCAATCACTGAAGTCACGTCATCTCATACTCTATGGTACACCACTTCAATCGTAAATCTCAAATTGCAACTAACTCCTTTAACAAGTACAACAAAATGGCTGATCACTTACTTGAACCAGCCTTTTACAGACTCAACCTTTTATCACAAAATCCAACTTTAATCAAATCCAATCCAAAACAAGGTAAAAGTCTAAAATCAATAACCTTCAGCATTCAGTCCAATGCCAAACCATACATACAAAACCATCCAACTCCCTTCACATACTATCATAAAATCAAATCTTACCTCATACTATGACAAAATTAAATTGAACAAAATAGAACTTTTACCAACACTACTTCTCTGAACTATGAGGCCCAAACTAAGTTAACAAAACAATCTTCATTGAGACCAATTCGAGTAGATAACCAAAACAATCTTATCCCGAAGCAAATTCCAAACATACCAGGTGGACCCTCAAAAATTTCTTATCCTGAACTAAATTCTAAACCTCAGCCAATCTAAACAAGCCAATAAAAAAAAATCTCCAAGCAAATTCATCGCCAAAACATGAACCAACATTTCTGCCTGTTGAATTAACACTGAAGCCATAGAAGCTGGACAAGAGCAGAACTTTTCATAATCCTAGATTCCTAATAGACGGTGAAAGGCAATCTACGCATATTCACCATTCAATTTATGCTCATTAAACCTAACAAATGAAAGTCGAAGAGTCAAACAAGGGTTTTTTCCCATAATACGAAGGTCAAATCACTTGCTAATGTGTGAAGATGAAAAAGAGGTGCCAGCAGCATAAAGAGACTTCCTGAAGTTCTCCAGTTGTCTCTGATTGAGAACATCAGTGGCCACTATAAGTTTTCAGACTATCTAATTATCATAAAACATGGAATATGTTTCAACAAATTTGTACAACCTACTAGCATAAATTATGCACAACAATGCTGGAAATAATTTGTTCCACTGACTGAGCATCCAGTTAAAAACTTCTCCAGAAAGGGCTCGAGAACTGCCCTACAGTGGTATAATAAATTAAATTCTGCAGTTCTCATCGTGTTACAGCCATGAAGTAGCTCCTTTTCTTTTGCAACAAAATTAGGAAGACCCCTTTGATTTTCCTTCAAAGCCTAAACCTTTTCACTTGACCTTACTCCTACAAACTTGAAATGTTCATCCAAAAATCGGAGAATACAACAATATGTCTGATGCCCCAAATAAATAAATAAATAAACAAAAAAAGGAAATAAGTTGAGAAATGTTTGAATTATCAAAGTGAAAAGAATATAAATAAAAGGCAAAAGAAAAAGGAAACGATTTTCTTCCATCAAATAGATAATGCCTTCTTCCATCAACATGGATAATGTTCACATTAAGAAAGTCAAAGTCAAAGGAAAGTTTGCAGCTCTTCCCTATATCCTTGTTTGCTATTTGATTCATTGGTTGCCAAATACTGTCGATTATCTGGCAGAGATTTTATGTCCATATATACACATCCAACCTCACCTAAATTAGCATGCACAATGATCTATCATACTAGTCGAACATCTCCAAAATATACTGATGTCTCCATGTTGCATTGTGTCCGTTTGAGATCACCACTAATGGGATTCCTTTTTTTTTTAAGTCTTCGACATATTAGTAAGTTCTTTTCAACGTCCATGCATTAGCATTATTTCAACCTCCATGTATTCTCCCGAATGGCTGATATGTCGTTCATAATGCTTACCGTAAAATGGTATGGTCTCAATATCCTTAACACTTTTGCAAGTTTTGGGCAATCTTCATTATTTTCCTGATATATTTGATAACAGTTCGGTCTAAAAAATCTACCGAAATGTTGCAATATTTGATTTGAAATTTCATTTGATTTACAAGACTGGTCAGTTTTATGGTTCAATTCAGGCTAACCCAAGCATATATCTGCTTATGTAAAGAAGTAGAAGAATCAGAGCTCAATTAAGACCAATTTTTTTTGCAAAAGATGACACCTTTCTCCATAACTCCATTATTTATTGCACCAAACATAGATATCAATGATACACACATTATGTGATAGAACATCCTGATGTTTATTTAATATCTCTATCAACCCCTGAATATCAGCCATTCGATATGGAATTATTCATTGTCTTAAAAAATGGTCTAGGCATCCGCCCAGGCGTAAGTAATACCTAGGCTAGCCGCTTATTCTTGAGAGTTCACATGTGAACATAGACTGCTTATGTGGACTCACTATGTCAAAAAGGGATTTATTGCCCGCTTAAACATAACAGGTGACGAGAACATGTCAGGTTAAAGTGGATCAGCTCGGAACCCGATCCAAGTTCAACTCAGATAAAATGATGAGGATAGGATTTTGGATCTTTGAGAACTTCCTTCCGTGGTGCTAATAAATGCCTACGTGCCACTTAGGCACCCTCTACGCGCTTGGGCAAGGCGCTATGTCCGGCACCTAGCAAGGCATAGCGCTTTCTAAGACCCAAATGTAATGTTACAAAAACATACATGCACCCTAAATGAAGTGCCTTCGCACAAGGCACTTGCGAGGCGCAAAGGCGCTGTCGCATCATATGTGAGGTGATTTGTCATTGCACCGCATCACAGCGTGCATGAGGTGCGCGCCTTTGATAACGATGCCACTTACATGAACTCCCCGCATCAAAAAGAGGTTTATTGCTCGCTTAAGGATAATCACAGGTGAGAAGAATGCGCCAAGTGAAAATGAATCAGACCGAAACTAGATCCAAGTTTATCCCAGATAAAGAATTGAGGATATAGTTTTGAATCTTTGAAAAACATCATTCCTCCCTCGACGCTGAAAACGCATATATCCCGCTTAGCCATCTGCTATGGTGCTAGGCATGCTATGGTGCTAGGCGCGATGCCTGGCACATAGAAGTAGAGGCAGTAAAAGATCGTGCCGGGCCGACCAAGATCAAGTTTGACCGCACCCGTATAGCTTGACATGAACCAAACCCATTTAATAAACAGTTCATGATACCCAACCCGTTTATTAAATCGGTTACCTGACCTGACCCGAATGACCTATTTAGAATTGCGAAGTAAGAATATTGACTTTCTAAAAACGAGTAACCAGATGTTGCAAATGTTCCCTTCGGGCTCACTAACTCTAATAAATAGTGCACTTTTATTGAACCAAATTACTCCTTAACGCATCATAACAAAATCTGACCTGCAATTTAGGTCATTTAGCTTTTACCAAACAAATAAAAAGAAAAGAGAAAGTGGAGACTAATGTGAATCTTGTACGTAAACAAAAACAATTTTCTTCTCCTAAACTTTCAAGAGCAAGCAATACTCCATTTAGCAATTAGCAAACAAACACATCTCTCTCTATATTTATCTCACTCAAGTTGTCTGTGGCTCCCTCATGTTCCCCAATACATTCCATGACTATCATTATCTCAGCATACAAATATCCCAAACCCCATCAAAGTAAACAACTAAGATTCCTCAAATAATCATGATCAACACCTCACAAAATACAAAGCAATCTCCTTCTAGAGCCCGCGTAGAATAAAAGTTGTACTAAAGCAATCCTTTTAGGAAAGGATGTCGTTGCTTCTGCAAGCAAGTAAATTGGTTTAAACAGGTTACTAAATGGGTAATAAACAGGTCATTAGGGTCAACCAAATTTGACCAGATTAATAATCGGTTCAATTTGGGTCGATCCATCTATGATCCAAACCCATATACCTCAACTGCTGCCCATTAATAATGGCTAACGGGTCAGATCGGTTAAAAATTTTCCGCAACTCAGAAGTGCCTAGTCTTTCTACAACATTGATGACTGAGCATTTTTGATCAATATATAATTCACGGGATTTGGTTCAGGCCATTTGCTACTCTTTAGGCATTTTGACATTGCACCTGACGTCTCATGTTGAACTTGTTAAAATAATATTGCTTTAAATTTTGTTAAATGTTTATTCTATTAGTTCTAGTTTGTAATTTCATACTTTTCCAGTTAAATTTTACTGTCTTATTTATGTTACTTGCATTGCATGCTAGCTTAAAAAATATTCGCATATCCTTTATCATATTTACCATTTAGAGACCTACTTAAGTTTATTTGCTTATTTGACATTTGTTCAAATCTTTGTTGAACCCTTATAGACTCGTACTGTGTCACAATATATGGCTAGTAACTTATTTCAATGATTTTTAGATGAATGAAATAAACAATGTGCACATAGAAGACAGACATCAAATCCAAAATTTTCAAATTGAAACTAACACCTTGGAGTTTAAAATTTATCACATGCAAATCACATAAATACCAAAGAAAACATAGAACATGCAAGATTAATTCATATCTCATCCAATCATCCACATAAATAATAGTGATTGCTAAATACTAGTAAGTGTCACTAACACAAGTGACAATATTTCAATCCCAAAATTAAACCATTCTTATGATAACTAAAGAACAAAGAATATCAACCAATATTTTCTAGTGGTTCCTTGCATTTGACATCAATCTATTAAAAAAACATTAAGCAAGACTGGGTAATAAAAGTAGTATTACTTGAACTTTGGTACCCCAAAGTATCACACTTTTGGAATTTTAATACCCCAAAGTTCAATTTTGCCAATTTGATATCCCAGCATATTGGATCTGTTAACTGCGCCACTAATTTAATGGAGGGAAACCCGATTACAGAAATTAACCCTCCACTTTACTCCCTCATTCTCATCCATGTGAGAATATCTGAACCCCAATTTTTCTCTACTGATCCCCTCATCAAGATCTCAGAGAAAAACCCCAAAAATTTGTTGATTATATCTCCAAAATCCTCACAATTTTTGTTGCTAACTCAGAAAAGATCTCATGTCTCCTCTAATGAAGGATGAATCCCTCTTATGAACTTATTAAGTGAAGGTGTAAGCCCTAAAATTCAGTGCTTTTGTCTTGCTCCTTGACTTGTTATGTCAACGTGTAAATAAATAATGCCTCATTACCTCTGTATATCTTTCCTGCCAGTTATTTGTACTTTTTTTTAATGCCTGGACCTTTGGAATTTGGATAATTGTCTACAATATTATGAATATGACTATATTGAACTTGGATCTATAATTGGTCATGGGTTTTTGCTATAAGTTTCTAAGTAGTTGAACTGTATCCAAGAAGACTCATAATGAATGGGTAAGATGCTATTTTTAATCATATATTGCAAGGGATAATGAAGAATAATGTTGTTACTTTGAATGTTGAATTATTAGATGATTCAATATGTCAGTTTCTTATGAATAGATACCCTACATTATATACCAAGGATGACTTATGCTGGTGTATATACAGGAACAGGAAATGTGAGGAGTAGAAATAGGATTTGAGTTTAATTGATTTACATGAAGCAGATAAAGGAAGAAAATATAGAATAGGATAGAAATTTATAGAGAAGAGAAGGATATAAATGTTTTATTTTATCACATGCTCAACACGCAACTTGGTTTAGACAGCAAAGCAAAAGACTGGTTAAAGTGGGGTATCAAAGTTCAAATTGACTGAACTTTGGGTATTGAAGTGGCAAAATTAAACCTTGGGATATCAAAGTTTAAAAAGAAGCGAACATTGAGTACCAAAGTCCAGTTAAACTAGAAAAATATTTCATAGTCAATCCACCTTATTTTTTAATGAACTAAAAAACAAAAAACTTATAATTGATATGCATGCAAATGGACTTTCAATAAAATCATAAGCTTGTAAAACAACTCAATCCGGTAAAAAAGAAATAAATTTGCAAATAGTTACTGCTAACAAAACTAGGAAAAAAGAATTAAGCAATAAAATCAAATAAAAACATAATATCTTTTTCCAGCTAATGGAAGCATTGATAGAGGACACTCAAAATTCAAAAATTATCACCGATATCATACAGGTTAACATAAGTGGCATAAAATTTTCAAATAGAGAACAATACCTTCTAGAGGATATGTCCAAAATTTATCACATGCAAATAACTTAAATACCAACGCAAACAAGAGAACACGCAAAATTAATTCATATCTCACCTAATCATCCACAAACTAATACTAGTAAGTATCACTAATATAAGTGACAATATTTCAACCCAAAATTTAAACCATCATTATGATTAAACTAAGGAAAACCAACAAGATTTCATAATGTTTCCTTGCATTTGGCCTCTTCATCAATCTATTAAAAAGCCATAAGCGAATGTAAGTAATGAAAATCTTTCATAGTCAAAACATCCTATTCTTCTCATGAACTAGAAAAAGAAAGAACTGATAGCTGATATGGATGTTAATGAACTTTCAATAAAATCATAAGGTGGTGAAATAACTCAATCTTGCAAAAAAGAAATAAACTTGCAAATAGTTACTATTAACAAAACTAGAAGAAAATAAACCAAGTAATTAAAAAATCACATAAAAACACAAAAATATCAATTTACAGTTGTTGTAAGCATTGACAGAGGACATTAAATCATAGCCAATCATCACTGACGCATGTGGTCATTAATAATCCTTGAGGCCCAGGAGAGAGGGATCAGAGAGAAAAATAGTTCCGAGGAGGCACACACTTAAGAGGGAGAAGATCAAAGGAAAAAAACATTAGCATAGAAGACCTAAAGCTCCCCAATGAGGATCCGGGTATCATCACCTCTTCAATATTAATGAGATTGAATAGTACTTTATGGTGAATGAATACCAATGTCCTACACTGGTAAAGACCTCTTTGCAGTGTCCAGAAGATCTAGGATTCAAATCCCATTTGCACAAGGCATGGGTGAGGGCTATTCTCTCAAAAAGGACCTTATGGTGGTACATAACATATAACCTAAGTTACGCGGGTGTTGGTACGGGCACGACAAATTTGTAAAAGGTAAGGCACAGGGATAGGGCTCCACATACATGTATATATACAAATAATTTAAAAGAGATCAATATTATTTTTTTTCATTTCTCGTGCTATGAAATAAAATTTCAATAACATTTATATATTTCTGTTATAACATAGATCTATAAATTAGTAAATTGCTTGTTTTTTTAACTTGATATCCAAAAGGCCTTATAATTATAGTTTTGAACAAGGTATAGGCTGAAAAGAACCCAACTTATGCCCAAGGAGTTTCAAAAATTGCATGTGAAATATAGAATATACGTCCAAGAAGTATATAACTGAGTGTTAGGTTAAAACATATATTATGCACTTGAGTAGACATTTGAATAAGTGTATGCAAATGCCTAAGGAGTGTCAACTGAAGTTTTGGTGTTGGGTACGGGCACAACAGGAGTACAGTACCAAATAGAAGTACCCATGCAACATAGCATATAACCGTGGGAAATGAATTCAGCCACCCCACTCGTAAGTCAGTTACTTTAGTGAGTAGTAAAAAAAGTACCTGCGCTTGCAATCAGCTGCTCACCAGACACTAAAAGTTTAATCTTCACAGCATAGCAAACACTTAGTTTTAAAAAAGTAGAATGCTTTGTTTGTTGAGTGCACATTCTAAGTGCTACATAACACCCCTCACTTCTTGAGCATATCATCTATCATGTCTTCAACAGCTTCTTCTATGTGCTATGTAGCATGCTTGGTCCGCTTAAGATTTATATATGAAGTTAAGTGGTTAAACTGATCTATAGAACAATGAAGAAATGATAATTATCAGAGTTGATTAAAATAATTGTGCATATTTTGAGCATGTGTGGGAACTATGGATTATAATCCTTTTGGCTTATAAGCTAAGTGGATTATAATTCGAAGTGTTTGGTAAATATAGTGGATTATAATCCATAAAGTGTTTGGCAAATGAGTGGCTTATAATCCATTCTTGTTGTCAAAAAGGACAACAAAAGACATGGCTCTACTATGGTTAAAGATAGAGCAATAAGGCTTGGAATTTTCTTAAAAGACTAAGGGGTAAACTAGCTATTTACTTGGTCAAACTTGGTGGCTTATAAGCCACCAAAAAAAAAATAAGCGGGGTAGCCCAGCCTTTTTTTTTTTGGGTTTATAAGCCAAAATAAACCATTTTCCAAACATGTCTCAGTGGCTTATAAAGCCACTTTGACCAGTTGCCAAGCATACTCTTTCACATTGAGGTGCGTAACTTCTGATATGGAGAAGGTTCTTAAAATCATAGCAAAGAATTTCAGTACAGTCTTAACATGTATTTCATTTACCCTGTAACATAACACAAGACGGTTTCTCAATTTCATAATACATCAGTTCTAAGGAAAATACAAATAATAACGTTCACATGTTAATTGTCAACATGTTTAACGTAAATATCACAAGTATGGGAAACAGCTCTGACTCCCCAAACAGAGATGCCACCCTGCCCCCAATTGGCACGTAATATGAACTATTTTTATGGGTGTGCACTATTGGAAGCAGAGAAACCATCTAGAAGATGTAAAACATCTTCCTAACTGTTCTCAATTGTATAATTAGAAATGAATCAAACAATAAAACTAAATTTTCTGAGTACCCCACTATCAGAATGTTAATGTTTTCATGAAGAAACAACTCTAAAACCATACTATGAATGAGATGGAAAATAAATCTATAATCAAACGTACTGAGAGGTAAGCATGTTTATACCTTCCAGAACCAACAGATCTGACGGTCTTTCACCTTATAGCCATTGTACTCTGTATGTGACTTCCACTCCCTCACGTTGATGATGCTATTGCTTCCACCTACCATTCTATCAAAATCTTCGAGGTCCAAATTATTGAAGAAAAACTTCAGGTACTTTGTATTAGAAAGTATCTCACTAAATCCTCTAGCAAAATAAGAAACCTGCTCTGAAACAGATTTCACAAAGCGATGCTGAATTAGAAGCTTGATGTATTCTTCCCTATTTTTGCTATTAACAACAATATCCTTTCCCCCATCACAGAGTTCAACAGCCCTTTGAGTTCCCAGTTCTTCAATTTCTCTCACAAAGGTTAATCCCAAGACGTCGGAATCAAGAAGCTCAGCATCCATCTCCAGAATCTTTTTGCAGCTCATATATAAGAAGGGGTCTGCATCTTTAATATCCTCCAATGTAACTATTTCACCAGCTAGTTGCAAGAAGAAGGCACGATCAAGCACAACACCTACTTGAACTTTATGCATCAAGGCTAGTGCAACCACTCTTCCACAAAACTCAAAATATTTGAGGTGCAAAGGATCAACAGAAGATG